ATAAACTATTACATTTCAAGCCAATTCAGATTTACTGTTGAATAACGCTTTACTTTACCTTCAATGATTTAAACCGATTTCCGCCGCATGACTTCAGCGGATTGTTCCAGCATGACATCAGTTTTAACAGCATTTATCCGGACAGCTCATAAACTTTCTGATGAATCCCTTTATTTGAACAATAAACCTTGATGGAAAAAATTAGATTCTTCACCTGTCAGAGTAGTAACCCATGTCTTAATTCAAGAATGGATGCAATACAAGTGACGTTGACGGAATCTGCCTAAGAAAGTGTGGCATAACACAAAAGTACTTGTGTACTGTTGTGCTCCCGTATCAGCACATTTCACAATCGTTGTATAAATCAGTGCAAATGACCAAATGGCATCCAGAATACATTTCTGCTACGAAAATGATTTATGCACAAAATGTGACGGATGCTTTTTCGTATAAATCAAATGCGTTAGTGGACCACAGGCAAATCGCTTCTCGCTGAAGTCAGCAAAACTGATTTTTGCTTGAGGCATGTTTATTTCATCGGCACGTGTCTGACCCACATTACAGATTTTAAAGGTAGATTTCTCCCAACTAATGGTCACAACTCCAATTGCTTGTTTAATGCTAGTCGATGAAAAAAAAAGTGAGCTGAATACCTATAAGAATTAAACGGGCAACATCAATGGGACCTAAATGCGTAATTTTGAACTGCCGGCGGGATGGCTATCAGGAGGGTAAGGGGGACAAGTAAAGTACTTGCACGGACAGCACACTACGAGAACCAGCGCAAACTCAGGGCTCAACCACTCGGCTGGTTGGGAAAGTAAGCTGGTTTAAGAATAAAAGATTTATTGTAGATTAAAATAAGATTTTAAATGAGAAATTGATGAACTAAGTTAGGTGTCACATTATTAGTAAAAATCACGCATGTGTATCCCTAATGACTCCTGTACTACTTACTTGGTTTTGCTGACAGCTCAGAGAAGCTCTAGTGGTTCAAAGAGGCAGAACAAAACAGTTTTATAAATGATATCAACATTGAAAGTTCACATTTGGAAATGCACCTTGGATAGGTTGTCTTAATCAAAGTTTTACTTGTCACCATGCAGAACAAGTAAAAAATGAAGCACTTCCTGTGTTAAATTTACCTGCGAGCATCAAAATTGACAGTTTCAAGTCCCTGTACGATTCTGATGTTTTGACCTGAGGATTTCTTGTACTACAGATGTCGATTTGCGACTAGCGGTAAATTTGCTAGCGCATTTGTGCTTGAGAACTTTTTAAAGAACATTTTTTACGGTGATTGACAAGTGCTTGGAGGAGTGTTCCCCAAAACTGGAGTCATTTAGAATAATTATGAACTTGGGCATTAGATGTGTACGAATAAAAATATTTTCGATAAACGTAGGGCAAATACAATACACATTGAGTTGATGAGTAATCGAAAGTAAGCGTTGAAAAATGAGGTAAGTCATGACCTACCCTGTCCACTATCGTAAATTTAGGTAAGGGTCTAGAAATTGCAGTGAACATGTAACTGTGTTTACTCAAAGTGTTAGGGATGACTCCCTGAGCCTTGAGTAATTCTCTATTAACTTTGAGAAAAACACTATCTAGTGGACTTTAGGCATTTGAAATAAACCTTCTGCGATCATTTGGGAGTTCCCGATTCCAAAAAATTCCTTTAACTGTCATTCACAAAACCCACAGATTGTATTCGCAAGCTTTCTATTAAGTCCGATGCTTATTATTACGCCTGTATTTGCACCCAATGATTTGACGAAAAAATTTCATATTATGTAATCCCGCCTTTGTCTGTTAACGGCGTTCAAAAGTGGCAAATGTGGTTGTTGGCTTCATAAATTTTATTTGGATATGATCATGTGTAGTTAGAAAGTATTCGGATTAATAACATTTCAAAAGTCCAGTTCGAAATTAGATTAGAGTGACTGTGGCTGCACACAAGCCTTGCGCTGTAGCATAAAATTGTCTTCGAGTCAACGTGCTGGCAACATTTATAGCCCAATGGTCTTATGAGCTGAAACCTAGGGAATAGGAAACGTGTAAAATAAGTTCAAAATGTTTGCCTACTTGTTGATTTACCTGGCCCTGCTATACGGATGTGATTTCGGTTTGTATCACACGGCAGCCTAAAATGCACGTTATTAATGTTTACTGTTGTCTGGCTAGAAACTTTGCTTTTGCTGTTTTTGCTTTGCTGTTGGCCTGTCGTGTTATTCACGTCGAGGACTCCCCCAATATGTGCTGATTCGCAGTACCGATTGAGTGTCGTTATAATTAGTGCCAAAAACTGTGACATATTTCCATAAAAGTACCGCGACGGTTTAGTCTTTTAAAGCGGCGAGTTGGCCAGAAAGAGTTGCATATACGGGGCAAAAATTCTAAATTAAACTCGGTAGCATTTAACTCTGTTTTTGCTTAAATTCGATATTTTCAATCTCTTAATTCCAACTTCTATAATTTGCTTATTGACAGAAATAGGAATAGGAAATGTAGTTTGCAAATAGTCAGATTTGCAAATTTGCTGTATCTACTCTTATTGCATTGTTAATATTATACACAAATCACGAACTTTTAGGTTGCTCTACAATGACTAAGAGCAGAAAGAGCTTCCAGCAGCAAATTTTTAATGACGACTACTGCACTGAGTAAAGACAACCGTCTGAGGCAGACAAGCTACACCTTTTGTTCCCAGCACAAAGATGTCTTTCCACGAAATCTGAGTCATTTCAGTAAGATCTAATAAAAGCAGTGTAGATCCTGCTGCAATTTATTCACAACCATCTTAATTTGTTCACGTAGTGGATCACTTTTTCATCCAAAGAGAAAATTTTAAGATCGGGGACTTCTACCATTTTTTTACCAGTTCAATCGATAACTTAATGGTCATTTCGCCACTTCATAAACGATAATTAGAATACTTTCTTAAATTTTAAATACTCATACAACGTGTTGTTTAAGAAGTATTATTGATTGGCGAAATATAGTTGACTGATTCGGCACGTGGAAGAAAGGAACTAGAGCATTCGGAAAAAAACCAATTAATCCTACTGTCAGCAGGCCAGAATACTTCACACATAACGCTCCTGCATCGTTTTTGTGTAGTGTAAGAGTTTTAGCTCGAGCGTTCTTGCCTCTTAATAAAGTTTCCAGCTGTTTTAAGAGTTCATCAGTAAATTAGAATGCTTGACAAAGATCTTTTTTCCATATGGGCATGTTCGAACCACTAAACATTTAAGAGGCGCTTTGTAATTGGATGCTAAGTCGATTACCTAGGTGGAAAGTAATGAGCAAATTTCTAGAGCCAAAACGTTCTCAAACACCCACTTCATGGGCAGTCAATATCTTCTGACATAATCTCCTTTTGCAATATTGCACAATTACACAAAGTACGGCAAAAAACCCAATTGCTAATTTGGAAGACAGAGCTTACAGCTAATTAAAGCGCTTTTGTGCCATAAAAATATTATTTCTACAACGGTTACTTGAAAACTCAAACAGATCATTAAAAGACAACCAATAAGGCGAATAACCTCTTCTATGAAGCAACCAAGAGCAAATTAACCACATTATGTGTGGCAAATTTGTGAACACAGCCTTACACATAGGAAGGAAACTCACGCATATCTAGAAACCACAGAAACAAGTCCTTTTACTTCAAGGGGTACTCGATGTCAAAAGGCACTAGAGGAAATGAAACCTACATTCTTGGGAAAAATATCAAGACAACGGTAAAGCCTCAGTTATGTTCGTCAGACTCGGTGCAAAGCACGGTTTGTGATCTGGTAAACATAGACGTACATCCCACCTCTTTCACTAACTTTATAATCCCTCGACTGGACTTTCAGTTGCATAAGCTTTGTATATTGTGGTGTCCCCTGGTTACGAATTGACCATTTTAAAACATCGATGTTATGCCACTTTTTAGTATACCATGTGCCATACCCCCACAAGGGCTTAATTTCCCAACAGCTCACCTTTCTCCGATTCCCGCATACTCGAATCATCCACCAAAACCTCAGAGACCGCCATTTAGCATTAGGCAGACTATATGAACAACCGCTTCAATTAATTATTAGAAAATTTGTTCAAATTACGTTCAACAGGGCTCAGAATTAACGGCAACATAATGTAACACCCACTGCATTTCTGAGACTTGACAATGAGTATTAATCAACATGACCTATTGACCATACCATCAACATATCCTAATCACCAAGATTAATGGAGAATAATGAGTTAACTGAGCACTCATCAAGTCTAACCCATTGTCACCCACTCTTACCGGTTCATTGAGGAATTATCTTCACAGCAGTATATAATGCGCCCAAACAAGTACCTAATGGCATTTCTCGAAGGCATAGGCAGTCTAGTAAAAGAAACTCGGAGCCATTTTAAACATTCCTGATGTTGTTGGGACGGCAATGCACTAACGACGTCTTTTCACCACAACTAACAACATTTTAAAGTAACTAGCAAGGTTAATAAAGCGTCACCAGCAACAAAGAAAGACATTATTGGACAAAGTTTATACTTCAAGTCTTTTAGCCAAAATTGGCATACAACTAGCACAGACGGGCACTTTGATACTGACGACAACTCCGACAACAGATTTCATACAAAGCAACTAGATCAGTTTGCGTGCTTTAACATCCTTAGCTATATGCTCATTCGATTCGACGGTCTCACACAAACTAGAACACAAGCTCACATTTCGTATCAAATAAGCTCTTACACCTTGTCTCAAATTTAATTTGGAATCACAAACGCTCAAGAACTCGAGACAAGGAGTTCGTGATTGATATCTCAAACCGAACACCGTAAAACGAAAGGATTTAGGATGAATCATTAACCCGGAATAAGTTAACAACTTTAATCTCAGTTGAGAATATAATACATATCTAAAATACATTAGGTTCATTATTTCAATCAAAAATAGTGGATATTCACTTGACCCATAACATTAATGAACAAAAACATATTTAATCATCGTCCTCCTGACCAGACAAGTCCTCGGAATCCGACGTTGTTGTGCTATAGTCCCACTCCTCTGAAGACGATGAAGATATACGTCTTTCTCTTTTTCGTTCATTTTCTTCTCTGTTACTTCCTTCGGATTCTTCTGATGAAGAGACATCCAATGGATTAAAATATCCTGTCGATTTCAGTGACTGGGCTTCTTCAAGCATGGGAAGAAAAGCATGTGCTTCATAGTTATCGGGCTCCTCATCTATTATTTTACGGCATAGCCTGAGGGCAACATCGAAGCGTTTGTACATAACACTATCGAGGAATTCCAACAACAGTTCATTTGATGCACCTTGATGAATAACGTTAGAATCAGACCGTAAAGGAGTGTTATCACCAGAGCCAGTCATTACCAAGAAGCAAACATAGGAACTAGGTGGATAGAAGTTGCACAGCGAAATAAGGAACACATCGTTGCCAAAGAATCAATTTGGTAACAGCCTATAATTGGCCCTTTAGGTCGCTCAAACAAACAGTAAAAGTTTGGCAAATTATGTAACAAAATATATTCTGACCAACTAATAGCCATTATTGTTCCAATCTCGGATGAATTTACTCGCTGTAGACCTCAGGATTTGCAAGAAAGCAGGGTATGAATTTTGAAAGAGGCGGGATGACCTGGGAATGAGGTCATGAAATTGGTCCGGGTGAATGCCTAACTTGCTTTCCCTTGGCATATGCTCAATTTGTCAGTCATATATCTGCCAAGCTTTAGTAAGTTTACCACGTGTATCTGCTACTAATATAAGGCGATAAAATAATAAAAGACTCACAATCTGAATGAAATGTTCAAAGAAATGAGGGGCTTCTAATTTTGTGCATAATTTACAGAGGTAATATGCAGAGTCAGTATCTTCAAAGTTTCAAGGGCACAGATACTACTAACTGTATAAGTTTATTATATGTACGTTAAATAATGCATTGTCTTGTCAGACAATTTTGACAAAAAGTACTTTAGGTGTGATAAAAATAAAAATTCTCGTTAAATTCACACTTTCTGGAACACACACTGTTCGTTTAGAATCAGTGAAGAAACTTGTTACTTCTTTCTTGTAAGCAAAGATATGATGGGAATACCGGCCCTTCATAAAAGGGATTCTGTATTCCATGTCTTTAAAATATATCTTGTTCTGTACCGCAATTAGTTTCTAGATAAAAAAGTCATGCACTTATGTTGACGCGGCCAACGATTTGTAGCTAACCAATTTTTTACTACTTTCGACTGACATATATACCATATTTGCGTCAATGCATACAAACACTATCCAAAAATGCATGTTAGTGAAATACATTGATCATTAGTCGCTCAACTCCTATCTAGAGGAGAGATTTCGCCTATTGCGTTTGACTACTTAATGGTTTTAGAACCCCAAATGCATGGTAGCAATAAAGTATCTAAGATATTGGTCGAATTAAAACCATTCTGTTAACATATTTTTTTTTTGATTGTGGTTAGTATTTTAACAAAATTGCCAGATCTTTAAAGCATTGCAAAAATGAAAAGTGCACAATATTGGTTTTGCACTTCGATTAGTCGACAATACTAAATTTTGACCTTCTGAAGGATCCTAGGAAACGATTTTAATTCAGGACGATGAAAACTAGGTTTTACTATCCTGTTAATAAAAATGAAGGAGCTTCACAAGAGACTAGAATTCCAACCTATTATGAAAACCCAATAATGGCCGCAGTAAACAATGAGTGCGTTCTGCATTCAATCAATTGGCAGTTTACGGGAAAGACAAATAATGACAATATCAAAGATTTAATTAATCTATTATTATTAGCTAAATATTCGAGCCGACATAAAGAATTCACTTATTTAATTTCGATTATTTGTTGCCAATATTGGAACCCTTTATTAAACAGGTATTAGAAAATAATTCTATATCTAAAATGTGATTATGAACCAATATGTGTAGGTTTAAATTATTATGTCTTAAATGAAATTTAGACGAGTGGATGTTGAAATGGCAGTTGACAAATGATGGATAGTTATATAAAATACAAATATTGTCCCAGACAATCGTAACTTCATCATCAAAGGGGTGCGCGTTTAAATGAATAATCCCACTTGATTAGGTGCATGAACTAAATGATGCAGATATTTTCTTTAACCTCAAATTTCATTAAAAGTGGGAAAATTTTTTTAGAATACTAAGAGACAAGTTGATGTGGGTTACATAACTTTTCATAACATCACAGTTTTTTCGATTGCAACTGTAAAACGGCACATTCGAGGGCACTGCATTTAATGCGAATTCCAGCAAGTAAAAATGTTTATAAAGAATGGGAATCAATTTGCAGTGTTGTTGGTGCCGACGCTGTCTTATGAAACGTGTAATTATTGCCACAAATGTTTTAGAAGTGGTTTGTTCAATCGTAGTGAGTAGCTGCGTCTGGGCAGCCTCGAATGTGTGAAGTACGGAATTGAATGAACACTCCACTTAAAAGAAACAAGAGCTTGCAGCAGCTCAGTTAGGAGTCACTCAAGTAACAATTTTCAAGCTTTCGCACAAAATGGGAAAAGTTTAAGAAACTCGGAAGTTGGGTCCCACATGTCTTGACCGAACTCAACTCAGATCACTGTGTGATCATATGCATTTCACTGCTTCCCCGACAACAAAAAAGGACTTTTGTAGAAACATGTGACTGGTGATTAAAAGTGTGCTTATAACATGAATCCTAAACGTAAAAGGCCGTGGATGGTTCCCGGGCAACTCAATACATCGACACCGAAACAGAACATCCACTTGAAGGAGGTTCTCTTGTGCATCTGGGGGAACACTAAGGGTGTACCCTTAATAGGTGCTCTTGAAAACTGGTCATGTGGTGGCTGTGAAAAGCTACAGCAGACACTTGAACAAAATGAACAAAGAAAGCGGTGAGAAAAGGCCATTTCTGGGCACGGAAGGAAGTAAGTCACACTGTTAAATGGCTGTGCTCAACCTCACGGTACTCGCGCAACTGGAAAGACCCTATTGAACTTGGACTGGAAAGTCCTCCCACACGCAGCATACATAACAGACTTTCCCCCATCCGTGTACAATTTGCCAGTCAATGCAGCAGCACACCTTCGTGGATAAACAGTTCAAATTGCTGGACGACGTGCATAAACTCGTCAATGACTTTATTGACATGAAACCTCAAAGTGTCTTTCGCGACGCCATTCGTACCTAACCTGAGATCTATCACAAGGTCATGGAAATCGATAAACAACATTTCTAATTTTAAGTTCGGTGTTTTCTGCTTTCTGTAGTAAATATGGCTGTTGAAAAAACACTACAAGGTAAGTCTTATACCCGCAAATCATCCATGCTACCCCATTTTTAAATATTCTATGTCCATGACATATTTTAAAATTCCCCTTTTTGTGGTAAATTTGACCGTAGATCCTGGCGAGCTTAAACCTGTCACTGTAATGAGGGTTTGAGTAAATAGCCAGTTACTAAAATCACGGCATTTTATTGCACACTGATTCAAAAAACCGGATCTAAACCTAAATTCATTGGCAATGGCACGTTGCATACTGGTCGACAATAGCTTTTGAAACTGCAAACTTCCACTCAATTTCAACCAATGTACCACGAATCATCCAAACCTGCCAGTCTGCATCTTTAATTGCTTGCCAGGCAGTTAAGACTATTTAAATAGATTCAGTTCTGCTTCGTTGGCAATCACTGGTTGCACACTGTAAAGCATGAAGAAGTTACAAGAATTCACGAGAGGAATACAAACCAAATTCTGCCCGGAAATAAGCCAATGGTTAAGAATTATAAACCAATTTGTGCTTTACTGGCTTCATTTTAAATTTATCATTGTATGAGCTCATCTTAAAGCAGTATGTTGACAGCTGGCCGGGTAAATAACATACTACAGTGCCGCAGATAACCCTGTTACTCATTTTTCAGATTCTGTTCTGCAAAATAGCCGACTCCTAGAAGTATTTTCTACAGTCTTCATTTAGGAGAGGCAATGAATTTAATAAAAATACTTGTCTATTGAGCCTAATTGGTTAGGAGGCTGGAATCGGTTACTTACACTGACGTAACACGGCAACAGTGAAATGTCATGTGGATCACCTTACCCCATTCAAATGCCACAATTCGTAGCATCCTGGGTTTGTTTCTCCTAGATATCTATACATAAGGTAACTAAAATCAAAATAACACTCCGCGAGCCACTACAGTTGTAGAGAACAGAAGATGGATTTAGATACGCATGTGATGCAACACCACCTATTTCATTTTCTTGCAACAACTAATAATGCGATCCGCTTCTGTTCGTGTGACTAACCGCGTGTGCAGTTTAGGTGAGAGATGTCTACTGCATTAATTACAGCAAACCAATTTTTTAGACGTGAGAACACGCAAATAGTTCCGTGCAGCATCAAAGGCGTTGTTGGGATGCCTAATACCGCGAGTTACCCAACAAAGATGAAGTCGGTGGAAGGACAGAGAGTCAACCGTTTATTCGAGGTCGTGATTTTTGGTGGGTTTGTGCGTGTGTATTTGTAGCTCGAATATGTGAGTCATAACTGCGCTAACATCGAGATCTAGGTGTGAAGTTAATCCAAGATATATATACGTGTGAATGAAGGGGGAGTTAAGGATTTGCGCGGCTGGCGCCATGCTGCGAAAAAGGGGAGCTCTGTGCCGGAGGCGAAGTGATCGGATTAAGAGGTTGAATAAACACGATTCACAACAGCATTGTAAACAACAATGTTATGCCCTCGCATTAATCAAGTCAAAGCGCTTGGCGTATTGTACATGCGTTGCCACGTCGTGGTTTCTAATGCTTAACTAGAACTATACTGGCTTCAACAAATGCAGGCCACAAGATGAACCCAACACTGTTATCATAAGTGCCTTATTCTTCCAACCAAAAGCCTATCAGGCTAGGCACTTCGAATTCATGTGGTACAATTGCAATTGGGCTTGGCAGATTTCGATCAAATACACACTCAGCGTGTTGCAGTGGTATACTTTTAAAGAAATGACTGGTTGTCGTAATTTTTTGGGCTTGTTTTAAATTGAACACGCCTAATAGCCAAGTGCAGTGACTAGCTGGAATGACTTGCAGCTAAAAACAACAACAAATAACGGGCTATTCCCGAAAATACTGGCATAGACTTGTAAGCGAGCTAATTAAATTAAAACGGGAGGGATGTAAAAAATGGCTTCCCCGTGCCAGAACCAACAAATTCAATGGCCCCAAATGTAGATCAACGCGCCATAAACTTTGCATATTCTCTGATCTTACACTCTGTTGTTTGTATTGTCAGCATTTGAGTAATGCATTCAGAAAACATTCTGCCACCACTAAATCACATGCTTCTAGCAAATGTGCCGTTTACGCTAACCCTAACGATGAAGGAGCCCCGACCAATGCCTTGGAGGCCACGACACGCTAATTAGCAATAAAGTCCCGAAGTAGAACCCATGTTGTTTCCATTTAAAATGGATCCAAAGGCTTCCTTTTACCACATACTTTTCTAACTTCAGAATCCGTTACAAACGTCCGCAGATGTTGTGATCAGCTCTTTACTGAAATTACGTCGTCACCTGACCTCGAAGGGCAATATTCTAGAGCAAAAATGTTCATCACATCGGGTCTAACATTGGTGTTGGCAACTTAACTAAATGGTGTAGAGCCAAGGTAATGATTGTGGCACAACGCAGGGTGGCGAAACCAGCATGCACACCAACCGACGCGTACACAGTCTGATTGTTGAGTTTTCCTCTTTTCGACCACCGCATCAAGAATCAGCAAACCAGTACCGTCAATTCGCTGGACATTACTTGACAACAACATTCACTGGAGTCAAGTGTTCACAACGGCGAAGTTAGCAAAAGTTCGAAAGCTCAGAAAATGAAGCATCAGCAAAGTCACCACCCTTGATTTCGCTGTTTTTCCGCACTCCCTTAAAGTGTTGTGAATCGTGACTCCTCACACCCCTTAATCCGGTCGCTCCACCCCCGACACAGAGTCCCCCTCTTCCGCAGCATGTCACAATCTGCGTGAGTCCTCAACTCCCCCCTCTTCACACGAATATTTAGCTTGGATTATCCTCGCACCTAGGTCTCGATGTTAGCGCATTTATGACTCACACATCCGAGATATCAACACACACCCTCAAACCCCACATACTCTACCAAGGCTTCGTCAAGTTCTCGAATAAACGATTGACTCCCTCCTCCCGCAGACTTCGTTCTGTGTCCAGATGAACCAGCACTTGATTCTAGTAACATGGCTTATAGAATCGTTCGTTCTCTGTCGGCAATAAGGTCCCCTCGATTTTATTGCAAAAGTACAATCCAAAAAATTATCATTGAAAGAGAAGATTTGTTACAAAGAAAGCGAACTCACAAAGTTGGCATTAGCAATTTGCCTAATTTTCATGCAGTTTTCAAATTTTACGGGCGGGTCCACTAGCATCAAGATCCAAAAAAGATGGCGTATTTATTTGCCACAGAAAAATAAGAAAGACGGAAGAGGCAATTAAAATTTGAGGATGGAGAACCAGCGAAGACCCGCTTTGTCCAGTTTTTCACCACCCTTGCATTCGCAAATCTCCACGAGAACGCCAGCCCCAAGAACATTCAAAGAGGCCTCTTTGCATAGAGTGTAAGCTGCTTCCAATGTACCACCGATGGCCATGAGGTCGTCGAAGAT